TACTACTACTATTACTACTACTACTACTACTACTACTACTACTACTACTACTAGTACTACTACTTCTACTACTACTACTACTACTACTACTACTACTACCACTGCTGCTACTACTACTACTCGTACTATCCTTATGACTTCTACTACAGGAGTCCGTAAGGATTGCGTAGGATTCCTCAACGATTCAATATGGTCCCCTAGGGATGCTATAGCGTTCCCTGGGATGCTGTAGCATTCCATAAAGATTCTATAGCATCCCTTAAGGATTCTACAGGATCCCCGAAGCATCCCCTAAGGATTCTACAGGATCCATCCTCTAAGGATTCTACTGGAGTCCCAAGGGAGTCGACCGCTTTCCCTGTACGATTCCGAAGGAGTCTGCAGCTCCGAGGTCGTTTCGGTGGAGCGCGCATAGGTTGAGCTCGTGGAAATACGTTGCTTGCCTTCAGGGCCCCGAAGGGTCCCAGAAGATTTCCAGCGGCTTCCTGTGGTTTCCTATGCTGGCCGTATGGCTCGTAGTGTTGCGTTGCGTTGTGTTGCGCTGCGCCGGGGGGGGGGGGGCAGGGTACACCAGTGGATTGCTTCACTACATGGAGCGAAGATGGAACTTATGTACTTGATCCTGGTACACCAGCTGGTTGTTTTGCCTTGTTGTTGCTGTTGTTGTTGTTGTTGCTGTTGTTGTTGTGTAATTATTGTTGATCCCCCCCGTCCGGTGCACTTTTTTTTGATTGAAGTGCCCGTCCCACGGCTCGCACCTTGTTGTTTATCAGGGAAAGTCTTGAGGGTCAAACTGTGTCGTTGGCCCCCCGTTTACAACAACAACAGCTCCCGCCTGATACTTCCTTCCAATTTCTTGAAGAATCGCACTCTCACTTAGGACTTCCTTGCAATTTACAACCGGATCGCGGCTCCAGCTTGATATTTCCTTACAATTTATTGAAGAATCGCGCTGTCGCTTGGGACTTCCTCGCACCTTACCGCCGAATCGCGGCTACCGCCTGATACTTCCTCAGAATTTATCCAGACGCCGCTCTTCGACACTCAGGAATCGCGCTCCCGCTACATATTGCCTGGCGGTTCGAGCAGAATTTACGCTTCAACGACCTGCCCGCTCGACCCGCCCGTCTTGGCTTGCCCGCCCGACCAGCCCGTTAGGGACTGCAGTCGCCGTTCGCTGCCCTTCGCCCGCCTTCGATGCCTCTCGCTGCCCGTATTGGTTCCGCGTTCGCCTTCGCTCGCTGCCCTTCGTGGCCCCGTTGCTGCCCTTCGTGGCAGGGAATGAAAATACCCCCCAAAAGGGGGTACGATCGAAGACGAAGAGGGCGGGTATCCACGTTTGGGATATGCGTATGGAATGACACGCGAGCAGATAAGAGCGAACAGTCTTAACATGATTGTTGTTGTTGTTGTTGTTGGTGTTGTTGTTGAAGTCTCACTCCTGAAGAATAATCATTGTTGATCCATCCCCCCACCGGTGTATACTTTTGTTTCTTCATCAAATTGTGCCCTTCGACGCTCGCACCCTCTTTTTTGACAGGGGAAGTCTTGATGCTCAAACTGGGCCCCTGGCCCCCAGGTTACAACAACAGCGGCTCCCGCTTGAGGCTTCCTCACAATTTAGCCAGGACCCCCGCTCCCGCCCGAGACTGCCTTGCATTTTATTAATGAATCGCGCTCTCGCTTGCGACTTCCTTACAATTCATTCAGGAATCGCTCTCCCAGCGTTCTGGAGTCGCGCTTTTGTTGGAGACGTGTTTGCAATCTACTGAAGAACAGCGCCCTTGCGTTGGAATTTCTTGCAATTTTCTCAAGCGCCGCGCTCCCGACACCCATGCAGCCAGAAATCGCGCCCGTTATGGCCCCATGTGCATGCCCTCCATGGCCCCGCTGTCGCCGTGTGTGGCCCCCTCACTGTCCTACGCGGCCCTGTTGCTACCCTCGGTGGCCCCATCGTTGCCTTCTGTGGCCCCGCATTATCTGCACGTCGTGGCCCCCGCTCGTTCGCGCTCTTCGTGGCCCTATACGCATTCCCTCCGTGTCCCCGCTGTCGCCCTTCTTGGCCTACTTCGTGTCCTTCGTGGCCCTGCTGTCGTTCTCTCTCGCTCTCGCTTTCGCTCGTCGTCGCCGTCGTCGTCGTCGTTGCCGTCGTCGTCGACGTCGTCGTCGTTGTCGTCGTCGTCTTCGTCGTCGTCGTCGTGGTCGGTCCCCTGTCCGTCCCTCTTGGGGTCGGGTCGACGGTCTGCGGCCGCCCCGCCGATCAGCGCTGCCGCTGGCCAGGCCGACGGTCCGCGGCCGCCCCGCCGCTTGCCGGGGCCCGGCCTGCAGGGAAGAAAGGTATACCCCCCAAAAGGGGTTCGATCGAAGACGAAGAGGGCGGGTATCGAGGGTTTGGGAAATACGCGTTGTTGGACACTCGAGCAGGTAAGGGCGAACAGTCTTAAAATGATTGTTGTTGTTGTTGCTGTTGCTGTTGCTGTTGCTGCTGTTGTTGTTGTTGTTGTTGTGGTTGTGGTTGTTGTTGTTGTTGTTGTTTTTGTTGTTGTTGTTTTTGTTGTTGTTGTTGTTGTTGTTGTTGTTGTTGTTGTTGTTGTTGTTGTTGTTGTTGTTGTTGTTGTTGTTGTTGTTGTTCTTGTTGTTGTTGTTGTTGCTGTTGTTAGGTAACCGCTACAAAGTTATTAATGTTTGACCCCCCCAGGCGCTTTGGCGCTTTCGCCTCGGCGCTGGCTACATATTCGTTGAAAGTGAGGCTCGCGCTTGAGCGGCTTGGGGGGGCGCCAAAACCAGCCCCCCAACAACAACAACAGCAACAACGCTCCCGCTCGAGACTTCCTCCTTTTTTGCTCAGGGCCGGTGCTTTTGCTCGCCGCCGAAAGCCGCCGTCCCAACAAAACCAGCGCTACCGCTCGAGGCTTCCTCACATTTTCCTTTGAATTGGCGCGCTACTCTTTCTCTCATCGGCGCCGCCCCCAGCAACAACAACGCTCCCGCTCGAGACATCATCCCTTTTTTCTCGAGGCGGTGATTCTCCTCGCCGCCGAAAGCCGCCGTCCCGACAAAACCAGCGCTCCCGCCCGAGACGTCCTCCCGTTTGACGCTGGATTGGCGCCCTACCCTGTTTCTGAATTGGTGCCGCTCCCAGCAAGAACGACGCTCCCGCCCGAGGCTTCCTCCTTTTTTCCTCAGGACGGTGCTGTTCCTCGCCGCCGGCAGCCCCCGTCCCGACAAAACCACGGCTCCCGCTCGAGGTTTCCTCACTTCTAGCTCAAGGCGGTGTTCCTCCTCGCCGTCGACAACCGCCGTCCCGAAAAAACCAGCGTTCCCCTTCGAAACTTCCTCCCTTCTAACTCAAGGCGGTGTTATTCCTCGCCGCCGACAACCGCCGTCCCAACAAAACTAGCGTTCCCGCTCGAGACTTCGTTTTGTTTTACGCTGGATTGGCGCCCTACTCTCTTTTGGATTGGCGCCGCTCCCAGCAAGAAAACGCTCCCGCTCGAGGCTTCCTCTCTTCTTCCTCAGGACGGTGCTGTTCCTCGCCGCCGACAGCCCCCGTCTCGACAAAACCATGGCTCCCGCTTGAGATTTCCTCCCCTCTTACTCAAGGCGGTGTTCCTCCTCGCCGCCGACAACCGCCGTCCCAACAAATCCAGCGTTCCCGCTCGAGACTTCGTTTTGTTTTACGCTGGACTAGCGCCCTTCTTAATTCAGCATTGGCGCCGCTCCCAGCAACAACAGTGGCCCTGCTCGAGACTTCGTTTCTATTCAGGGCCAGGTCCTTGCCTCGCCGCCGACAGCCCCCATCTCCACCAAGGCAATCCTGTCGCTCGATACTTCCTTGTGGTTTACCCTTGGCTGGGGCTTCAGTGGCGGTCTCGCATCGGCGCAGCAAGGCGCGGGCATGCATTTTCGAGGTGGGATATGTTGACATTCCTCGGAGGAGGTGTTTGCAAGACCTCATTGGGCGGGAGATTTGGGAATTGGAAATAACGGACCCCGCTATAGAACAAAAGTCCCCCATGATGGGGATGTTTATCATGATGGTCGCATGCTTCGTGTGGAAACATTGCGCATGAGTGAAAAATGATTGTTGTTGACGACGACGTGTTTCAGAGGCCCCCCTGGGGGAGGGGGGGCGCACCGCACCGCGCGCACCGTACCGGGCGCACCGCACCGCGCGCACCACAGCGCACCTCACCGCGGGGCATCTTTAGGCATCCTAAGGGATCCTTCGGGAATCCTTAGTAATCCCTAGGGAATCCCTGGGGCGTCCTACGGGATCCTTCGGAATCCCTGGGAACCCTTGGGAATCCTTAGGGAATCCGGAGGAATCCCTAGGGAACCCTACGGGATGCCCAGGGAATTCTTAGGGATCCAAAGGGGTCCCCATGGAACCCTTAGGAATCCCCAGGGAATCCTCAGGAATCCTTAGGGTGTTCTGCGGAATCTCCGGGATCCCTAGGGATTCCCTGCGGAATCCTGACGAATCCTTCGGGAATCCTACGGAATCCTAAGGAGCACGATCGAGCACCATCGAGCACCATCGAGGACGTGAGGGCCACAGGGCTCGTCTAAGTACACCGCCGCGGCCCCGTGTACATCAGACGGCCGAGTACACCGCGCGCCTGCGTGCACCATAATGTGGCAGCTGGACACGCGCGCAGGCGCAGCGCGTGTGACGATGCACCATGATACATTCATCATCCCTTTGCAATGAGCACCGTGCGCTGTGGCAACTGCCGTGGGTGGGTTGGCAGACGTCATGCTGTCTACTGGGTGGGCGGATACGGATGGGTTGGAGGCTAAAGACGCGTGTTATGTGTCTGTGAAGGAGCTCGGTATCCTTCTGGCCAGGCCAGGGGAGCGTTTGCAACGATCCTGAGCCCAAGGTGGGCCTGGCCAGGATAGGGATTTGGAGGAGGAGGATGATATTGAGGAGGAGGAGGAGGAGGAGGAGGAGGAGGAGGAGGAGGACGAAAACGTTGTGGGCCCTCCGCCGCCAGGCAAGACGAGGGTTGTCTACAAGGGCCTCGTGCCCTCCAAAGCGTACTGCCGAATGATCGCCATCGAGAACGCGGAGGGGACACTGGGGTGGGGAAGGGCGCTGGTGTGCGGCTTGCGGGGCTCCGCCCAAGGGAGTGGCTAGGTGGGGGAGGAGGGGGAAGTGAACGGAGTGGGGGGGGGAAGTGAACGGAGTGGGGGGGGGATGGGGGGAGCGAAAGGGGTTAGTGGGAGGATGGATGGATGGATGAATGGAAGGATTGATGGATGGATGGATGGAGATGTGGTAATGGTTGTAGTGGTGGTGGTGGTGATGATGATGATGATTATGATGATGGCGTTGATGATGATCTTGATGACGATGATGGTGGCGGTGCTGGTGGTTATGACCGATAATGATGATGGTACGGTGGTGATGGTGATGATACTGTTGTGGATGCTGATGATGATGATGATGATGATGAGGATGAGGATGAGGATGAGGAGGATGAGGATGAAGATGAGGAAGAGGATGATGATGATGATGATGATGATGATGATGATGTTGATGTTGATGATGATGATGATGATGATGATGATGATGATGAGGTGGAGGAGGAAGAGGCGGTGGAGGGAGAAGTGGGGACGGTGAAGAGGATGAGGAGGAGGCGGTCCTGAGTGGTTTACGGGGGTCTTGATTCTGGAAGGCTTGGGTATCATGTTGTTGTTGCCGGTGGTGGTGGTGGTGATAACGACGACCATGATGATGCTGCTTACGAGAAGGACGAGGACGATAATGCGAATGGTGTTGATGACGCTGAGGAGTACGATTCCTTCCTGATGATGTCGACGCTGCTATTTATGTTGACTTTGGTGGTGGTGGTGGTTTCGGTTGCAGTGGTGGTGACGAAGAGGGTTACGATGTTGGTTTTGATACTTATGCAGATAGTGCTGTGATTGATGACGACTACAATGACGATGACGAGAAGGATGACGATGTTGACGATGATGCTGATGATCATGATGATGCTGCTGATGATTCTACTGATAATGTTCGATCGGAGCATCTGATGATGCTAAGTATGATGAGGATGCTGATGATGATGATACTGATGAGGATGAGGATTCTGATCAGGAGCATCATGATTCTGCTGCTCATGATGATGATGCTGCTGGTGATGATGATGATGCTGGTGGTGATGATGCTGCTGCTGATGCTGATGATGACGATGATAATGACGATCCTGTTAATGATGACGATATTGATGATGAGGATGATGAAGCTGATGACGATGCTGCTTATGAGGATGCTGATGATGATTATGATGCTGATGAGGATGATGACGATGATGCCGATGATGATGCTGATGATGATGATGGTGGTGGTGGTGGTGGTGATGATTGTGATTATGCTACTGTCGTTATTGATGATGAAACTGATGCGGCTGATGATGATGTTGTTGATGACGGTGACAATGATGACCACGTTCATGCTGCTGCGGATGATGGTAATGCTAATGGTGATGGTGATGACAACGAGTGTGATATTGGTAATGACCACGATGATGCTGATGATGCTGATGATGCTGATGATGAGGATGATGCTGATGATGATGACGATGATGCTGAGGATGATGATGATGTTTATGATAACGATGATGATGATGATGATGATGATGATGATGATGATGATGATGATGATGATGATTATGATGATGATGCTGATGATATGGATGATGATGCTGATGATGATGTTGATGATGCTGACGCGGATGCGGATGCGGACGATGATGATGATGTTGATGATGCGGTTTTGGATGATGACGATGCTGATGCTGATGATGTTGATGCTGATGCTGATGCTGATGCTGATGACGATTGTGATGAACATGATACTGATGATACTGATTATGCTGATGATGATATTTCTGCTGCTGAGGAGGATGATGCTGCTGCTGATGATGCTTATGATGCTGATGATGCTGCTGATGATGATGCTGCTGCTGATGATGATGACGATGATGATGATGCTGATGCTGATGCTGATGCTGATGCTGATGCTGATGATGACGAAGACGATGCTGCTGATGCTGCTGATGATGATGATGATGATGATGATGATGATGACCCGGTAGTCTTGATTTCCAGCCCAGCCTGTGGTAAATTAGAACCAGCGCCGATGTAGGACTTACCTCTGCCAGTGCGTCAGGACTATCGCCCTGCAGCCGCTGTGTGGCTGCGCGGAAGCTGCTGCCCAGCGCCCTCGCGTCGTTTGCGTCCCTCACGGTCTGGAGCGCCGTGGCCCACGTGACAACGGGCAGTGCCGTGTGGTCGTGCAGGGGTTCGTTGGTGAGCGAGCGGCCAATAAAGGTATTTGAGGCTCACGCTCCCGCCCTCCGCGCGCCCATGGTGCGCGGCGCTGGCGATGCTGCGCCAGTGCTTCAGCAGGTGCGTCCGTCACGCCATCGCGCGCCAGAGGTTCTAAGCCCCCCCCTGCCCATCTGGTTTCGGACAGCGAACAAAGTCGGTCAGGGCCCGGGGCCCGCGTGAACACAGCCGGGATCAGCCAGGGTCAGTGGCGCACCCGAGGCGCGCCACGCGTGCGAGGCCCCCCCGTTGGTCCCTGCCTGCGCCCGCCAGCCAGGCTCCAGCGGCCGTGGCTCCACCTGCGTGCGTGACGCTGCGCTGCCGCCTTCCGCCATGTTGGCCACCAGACAGAAAGGGAAAGGTTGAAATTACCTCCCAGGTACCACGTCTCACGAGTGCGGTCCACACTCTTTGCTGCTGTCAGGGATGCTTCGCCAGCGTCACGCCAGGACCGCCCTTGCTGCTGTCTTGCTGCCTCGCTGTGTACATTCTCCCTGGCCCGTACTGTCTCTGTACTTGCTTACTGGGTACCCGTGCAGAACTAGCTAGCTGATAGCCCCACATTCCACTGCCATGCAGTCGGCTTCAAGAGCTTCGCAATTCGAAGGCTTCCCCTCCTCACCCTCCCTCTCCCTCTCTCCTTCTCCTCCCTCCTTGTCCCTTCTTCTCCTCCTGCTCGCTCCCTTCCCCCCCATTTTCACCCCTCTCCTTCCTTTGCCCCTGCGCCCTCATTCCTCGTCCGTCCCTCTCCTCCTGATCCCTCTCCCTCCCCCCTCCTCACCGCCCTCCACTCTGATCCGAAGAGGTCGGGGGTTACAGTCGACCCGTCGTAGTCGAGGTCCTTCGTCCTCCCACTCCTCTCGGGGGTGTCAAGAGGGGGTGAAGTCAAGGGGGAGGGAAAAAACACAGACACAATTCATCGTCGATTCCCCAGCAAAAGTATGGGAAACAAAATATGGGACGTGGGGGGGAAGACGAACACCCCAAAAATACGGGAATCTGTGGGGAATCTGATACTCAAGAATAGTCAAAAAAAATATGGGGACTTTTTTTTGGATTCAAAAAACTATTTTGGAGCATTTTGGGAGTATTTTTTTGGAGTCCTTTTAAGTTTTCGCTCAAAATTCCCCCGTAGGGGGACAGGCCCGACCTAACTCTTCCTGGCCCGTCTCTTCGGCGCACCCCTCCCCTTTCAGATTCCAGCGGTTTGCGCCGTTCCGCCGGCCCCCTCGGGTGGGCCTCCTGGAAGGCTCTGATGGGGCGCTTGGGAGGCTGCTTTCGGGGGTGGAGGCTCTTCGGGGCGCCTCGGGGGCCTCTGGGGGCCTCTCGGGGCCCTCTTGGGGCAAACGGCTCGAGGTGCCTGTTCGCAGTCCCCCTCTTGGGCCCCCTTTCGGGCCCTCTTGGCGCTCTTCTGAGCCGTCGTGGGATCCCCTGGGGCCGCCTTGGGGCCCCTTCGGGCGGTCTTGGGGCCCTCTTGGGGGCCCCTTTGGGCCGTCTTGGGACGATTCTTGGGGCTCCCGGGGCCGTCTTGGACGTTGTCAAGATAAAAATGCGAGTATGCTAGCCATCTACGACTTCCCAAGAGAATCGGATTGGGGCCCCTTCGGTGGTCCTCCAGGAGCACCTGTGGGCCCTCTTCGGGGCATCGTGGGCCGCCTTCGAGCCATCTTGGATGGTTGTGGGGCCGCCCCCGGCCGGCCCGACGCTCTCTTGGGCTTTCTTGGCGCTCCTTTTGGGCCACCGTGGGCCGCCTGGGGGGCTTCTCGGGGGCTCCAGGAAGCCCCGGGGAAAAACGTTGACGAACTCGGGGTCCTCGGGCGCCCCCCCCTCTCAAACAGCATCCTGGGCCCCAGGGGAGGGTGAAAGGGGGATGGGGGGCAACCTGCTGTCCCCAAGCGCCTTGCCACCGCCGGCCAGCGGGGGTCGGCGCATCATTTTCGGTTGACCAGATCTTTCCTGACACGTTCCGGACACTTGAAGGCTATGTTGAGATTTCTGCATGCGCTCGCGCGGGTGGGGCGCGCGCGAGTTTGCCCCGCGTGGCATTCTTGGAAAGGCCTTTCGGCCTTTCCTGCCGACCATGCCATGGGGACCGGGAGGCCCCGGGAAGGCCGCGAGGGAGCCGCGGGGCGCCGGAGCACGGGCCGACGAGGATCCCAGAACGGGCTGGAGCGCATCCCGAGGCCGGAGGAGAGGCAGAACACCGTGCCACCCCTCTCTGATGTGAAGTCGGGCGTGTCCCTCTGCGGGGGGAATTCTCAAGCATAACCACAATAGTATGGGGACGATTTCCGACGTTTTTCCATTTATTACCTAACAGCGTAGACTGATAGGTTTCTAGTTGACTCAAAAGAGTTCACAGATCACTCCACAGGGGGGTCCGGGCAGGCGTTGGGAGTTGCCGGCCGGGCCTGTGCCAGGCTCGTTTTTCACCAACAGTCACACACTTCGTGCTCGTCGACCTCTCAGAACCCCATTCCCAGGCCACATTCTGAATAACCGGATGCAACAGTCACACACTTGGTGCTCCTTGACCTCCCAGAACGCCATTCCCGGGCCACATTCCCGGAGCCAACTGTAGGCCACTTCGTGGATCCCAGAACTCCATTCCCGGGCCACATTTTGGATGCCCGGAGCCAACTGTAGGCCACTTCGTGCTCTTCGAGTTCCCAGAACTCCATTCCCGGGCCACATTTTGGATGCCCGGAGCCAACTGTAGGCCACTTCGTGCTCTTCGAGTTCCCAGAACTCCATTCCCGGGCCAGATTTTGGATGCCCGGAGCCAACTGTAGGCCACTTCGTGGTCTTCGAGTTCCCAGAACTCCATTCCTGGGCATGATTTTGAATGCCCGGAGCCAACTGTAGGCCACTTCGTGTTCTTCGAGTTCCCAGAACTCCATTCCCGGGCCACATTTTGAATGCTTGAGGCAGGCTGAGGCTGAGGCTGAGGCTGAGGCAGGCTGATGCTGAGGCAGGCTGAGGCTGAGGCTGAGGCTGATGCAGGCTGAGGCTGAGGCAGGCTGAGGCTGAGGCCGAGGCTGAAGGCAGACTGAGGCTGAGGCTGAAGCAGGCTGAGGCTGAGGCTGAGGCAGGCTGAGGCTGAGGCAGGCTGAGGCTGAGGCTGAGGCTGAGGCTGAGGCTGCCGTTGCCACTGCGACTGTCATCGCGAATGCGACTACGACTGCGAGAACAGCACAATTCTACAACTGGATTCTCATCTGAATCTTAAGGGGAATGCTTCCAGATATGCTCCTACACATCGCTGTTAGGTTGCTTTGCCGGGATAATTGAATATTTTCGAGGTATTTGTTTCTTCCAAAATCCGCCTGTAGGGGGAGACGCCCGATCTAATCTTAGAACGGCCTGAAGCGCACCCCGAGTCTTGAGAGGAGGCAGAACACCGTGCCACCCCTATACAGTGACCTTCGGTCGACCTATCCCGCCACCGCGCCTGGGTCGTGGACCAGACGCCTCCTGAATGCATGTAAGGGTATCTTGGGGTGCCTCGCGGAGGCCTCTCGGAGGGTTCTTTGGGCCTCTCGGGGGCCTCTTGGGGACCTCTTGGGGCCTCTTGCGGGCCTCCGGGTGCCCTCTTCGGGGCCTAAAAATGGCAGTTCGTCCCCCCTCCGGGGGCCCCTCTCGGGCTGCCCTGGGGCCCTCCTAGGCCGCCCGGGGGGCCCTCCTTGGGGACCCTTGGACAGCGTCGGTACATGCGCACTGACTTGTTTGTTGTACTCATACGTGCTGTTCTTAGAGGACGCGGTTGTTGCAACAGCGCGCGTGCGCCGCACTGTGTGGCTTGACAGGGATGGCTGGGGAACCGATGTTGGTTTGGCCGGGGTGGTTCCACCCAGTAGAGCATTTTTGTTTATTCTCTGCGTCGGGGACCACAGTCTGTGGTGCCGTACCCCCACTGCGTGGGGGTGCGTCACGTTGTGGCCCCCAGCCCCAGCCCCCCCCCCACCCCCCATAACGCCAGTTATCGCCACGAAGCAAAAATGTTTCCATATGTAGGAGGGGCGCTCGCGCATGACGAATACGAAGGAACAGTATGCGGAGTGGTGCCGAGAAGTCTGTCCTTAGCATTGGTGCTGGGGTGAGCATTCTATTCTCGGAGATGATTAAAACCAGACGTCTTCAGGGGAGGAGTGCAGTCGGTGCAGGCTTATGTGGTGAAGCATATCGGGCGGAAAACCGGAGTGGTGCAGCGCGTGTGGTGCGTGGTGCAACCTGTGTGGTGAAGTGTGCGTGTGTCTCCGGAAACGCGAGCCTGCGCACGCGGTGGCCGCGAGGCGGCCGCGGGGCGGCCGCCGCGCAAAAGCCCGAAGAACGCCGCCAGGGCACGGGGTGGAGGAGGAGGAGGAGGAGGAGGAGGAGGAGTAGGAGGAGGGGGAGGAGGAGGAGAATGATGAGGAGGAGGAGGAGGAGGAGGAGGAGGAGGAGGAGGAGGAGGAGGAGGAGGAGGAGGAGGAGGAGGAGGACGGCCACGACGGGCAGCCACCGCGCGAGCAGCGGGGGGAACCCACGACGCGAGGCTTGGCGCGCCCCTGGGCAGGGCCGCCTGTCTGCTCCTGGCCCTCTCCTTGGGCCAGCGCATGCGCCTGCAGCGCGTCAGCGTGCAAGCCTCCGTCCTCCGTCCTCTGTCCTCTCTCTCTCCTCCCTGCTCCTGCCTCCTCTCTCCTCCACCCCGTCCCTGCGACCCGGCGTCACGGAGCAGTGCAGAGTCGTGGGGAACCACGACCGGAGCCCCCCTCCGACCGCGTCTCCTGCGGTGTTCTTCGAGCTGAACCGATCTGCGAGGGTCACAGGGCCCGAGCCCAGGCGAGAGCGACCGGTGCGACAGGACTGCGTCGCCAGGAGCTCGTGGGGTGCTTGCTCCTCCCCGTTCCTCTCCTCGTGCGGATCTCCCGGGGGCGTGCGGGCAGAAGCGGACCTGGCAGAACGACTGGAAAGGACCTGGCTGTTCCATCCCGGCGCGCCCCCCCCCCCCCGCCCAGCAAGCCTGCCTGCCTCTCAAGCCACAGCCGACCACCTCGCCGATATCCTGGTCGGGTCCACTCTTGGGAGGAGGACCACCACACAGGACCAGCCGAGTTGATGGGCCTCCTGGAAGCCTCTCGTCGCCACGGCTGGATCCGCCTCGAAGCACGGGTCAGGATGGACCCCAGGAGGGGTCTGGGGTCAAGTCGGGCCTGTCCCTCTACAGGAGGAATATTCAAAAACAGTAAAACAGTAGTCAGGGATCGTTTTTTTTATGTTTTCTTGTTCTTTAAATTTATTTTTTGGGGCATTTCTGCTGCGTATTTTTCGACTTTTCAATTTCTCCTCCAAAATTCGGGCCAGACGAAAGGGGGGGATTGGGAAAGGGGGGGTTACGAAATCTGCTGCATGCAGCTGGTTTCGGCCCTACCGAGGGGCCCATTCCTCGATACATAGCCGCCTCCGGCGCCGGGAGGCGCCGGGAAAATCAGCTACGCGAGCTGATTCTCAAACCCCCCCTTTGCTATCCCCCCCTTTTGCCTGTCCCGAAAAATCCGCCTGCAGGAGGACCCGACCTATGTCTGGGGATGGCTCTTGGGCGGACGTGGGCCGGGCGGGCGGGCCGCCGTAGTCTTCACTGGTTCTCTCTGGTCTTCCCCCTCCCCGCTCCCAGGAAAGGGGGGGAGAGGCAAGGGAGGAGGGAGGAGGAGGAGGAGGGAGTAGGGAGGAGGGAGGAGGAGGAGGAGGAGGGAGGGAGGAGGAGGGAGGATGGGGAGGATGAGGAGGAGGAGGAGAAACAGGAGGAGGGCAAAGAGGAGGACAGGGGGAGAGTCGGATCCTGTGTAACTGTCCTCGGGAGGGGAAGAAGAGGGTCAATGGCACTCCGGCGTGTCTTGCCCCAAAGGCCTGGAGCTTCTTCCGCAGCAGCACGCGGATGGTGTGTCCCTGGTATTCTCAGTCTTCGCCCCTCGTTCCTCGTCCCACTTCTCCGTTTTCCCATCGGTCGTTGAAAGCAGGTGCTCTTCGATTCCCAGACTACTTCATCATCGATATGGTTTGGCCGTCGTTTGTTCTTCTTTGGGCGGGCTCGAGCCCAATCCACTTTATCCGCCTTCCCACTTCATGTTTCCACCTACGTCTTCCGACTGGCGTGTAGTCTTCGCCCCTCGTTCCCTGCGAGCAGAACTGCTCATATCCATCAAGCCTTTGTCCATCGATCGGTGTCCTGCGAGTCGCGCAGCTCGCGGGCGTCCGAAGTAACCTTCGCGCAGAACATCTGCTCATTGCCAGGCCCCCCCCCCCCTCATGCACGTCTGCCTGGCTGCTTGGGCCACGCGCTCCGCCAGGGTTGGGTGCCTCGCCAGGGCAACGTCTCTCAGTGTGCTCGACTCCTGCTTCTCGGCGCGGGATCGGGCTGGCCAGGACCCTGACCCCCGACGTCACGACTTTTTCATGACGCGACCCGCAGAGGTCCAGACCCATTGCCCTGGGCCATTTTTTCTCAGCCCGAGTCGTTTTTCGACGGCCCCGAGGCCCGGCGAGGGCCCCCAGAGGACGAACATGGCGGAAGACCTCCCGCCGTGATTTTTCCCAACCATCCTGTGGTGTTGGGTCCTCGTTTTGAAGAGACGGTCCCCGCGTTCCTTCCTTCCTTTCTCCTCCCCCTCCTCCCTCCTCCCATCCCTGCCACTGCCCTGCGCATGTCCTCGTCGTTTTCGTCATCATCATCATCATCATCATCATCATCATCATCATCATCATCATCATCATCATCATCATCAGCATCATCATCATCATCATCATCCTCAGCAGCAGCAGCAGCAGCAGCAGCATCATCATCATCATCATCATCATCATCATCATCATCATCATCATCATCATCATCATCATCATCATCATCGTCAGCGTCATTGTCATCGCCATGCCATCGTCATCATCATCGACGTCATGATTACCACTTATCGTTATCATCATCGCCACCAATGTCGCCACACCCCTTACACGGTTCGTGGCCCCACAGGGAGCCCCATCGAAGGCCACAATGGCGGTGTTCGCATGCGTCTCCCCCACCCAGCACAGGGTTTCGCGGCAGTACCTAAGGCCCTAGTGGCGGTGTTCGCATGCGTCTCCCCCACCCAGCACAGCGTTTCGCTGGCCCCATAGGGAGCTCCACCCAAGGCCCCAGTGGCGGTGTTCGCATGCGTCTCTCCCACCCAGTACGTCGTTTCGTGGTCCCATAGGTACAGGGAGCTCCACCTGGGTGGAGCGACCTGCGGAGCTGCGGAGCCATGCATGGCGTACTGCAAAGCAGGCACCGCCTCGTGGCCCACAGAGGGAGACACCATCACCCATCTCGCGCCTTTCCTATAAGAACCCCCACCGAAGATTATACACGCGATCGCGGTACCTACGGCTGAATATGGTTGGGTCCTTCGCCAGGCAATTTTTCATGTCTCGAGGGGGCCTGGGGAGCCAGCGAGGCAGGCAGCTCTCTTGGAGATTTCTCGGACGCAGTTTTGAATCCTCTTGGGGCTCTTGCGGGCCACTTTCGGCCATCTTTTACGCCTCCCTGGAGCCCCTTTAGCGCCTCGTGGGGACCTCTGAGGGGCCTCGTGGAGGCCTATCACTGGCGGACTCGGGGGTCATCTTGGGCCATAGGACTCGAAATGTCAGCTC